GCCTGCATGGTTTCTGCTGAATAATCTGAGCTTAGTCTTATTGTTTCTCCTCTGTCTGTGACTTCTTGTTTTTCACGAGCTGCTCTCAGAATTCTTTGCCTTTGATTTTGGCAAGTGTGATTATGATACGCCTTGGTGATTTTCTTTTGGGGTCTATCCTATATGGGGTTCGTTAAGCTTCTTGGATGGTTGGTCAACTTTCATCTTTCATGATATTGGCGAAGTTTTCTGTTAGCAATTCTTCATTGATCCTCTCTGTGTTTTCTGTTTTCTCCCCTGTTCTGGAACTCCGATCCCTCGTAGATTTTTGCTTTTGATTGTATCCCACATAATTCTCAGGGTTTCTTCATTTCTCTTCATTCTTTTTTCTGATTTTTCCTCAAACAGAGTTGTATCCAAGTTGTTTGTCTTCAATTCCACTGATCCTGTCTTCCACCATTTCAAATCTGCTTCTCAGCCCTCCTATGACTGTCCATTTCTGAAATCTTATTATCTTTTGGATTTCTAATTGTTGTTTTTGTATGATTTCTTGTCGTGAATTTATTTTAGCATTTTGTTCCTGTATTATTTTCTTGAATTCTTCCATTTTTTTTGTATTTTCCATGAATTTGTCTGTTTTTTCCTCATTTTTGTCTGCTTTTTGCTTAAACTCTCAGATAATTCTGAATACTAGGGATTTGAACTCCCTATCAGTTAGATCTAGTGCCTTTTCTTCTACTGGAAGGTCATCTAGTGTTTTATTCTGGATGGACCGGAACTATCCTGTCCTGTTTTTGTAAATGTTTCGATACTGTCTGCTGTCTTCATGGCATTCAGTGGTTCGTCTCCTCGTTAACTGACTGCAGATGTTTGTTTCGTCCTTTTTTATTTGGTTATGTCTGAGCAGGCGGGCTGTGTGTTCTTTGTTGTTTGCTCATCTATGGGCACTTTTCCTTCTCCAATGGGCAGGGTCAGTCAATCAGGTATGGTACAGCTGGGCAGGTCCAGCTGAAGGGGAGTTGCTGGGATGGGTTGTTTGTGGCAAGTACCAGAGGTGACAGTGTGGACCAGTAATCAGTGCAGGGCAGGTTCCAGCAGGCTGTCCCTGTGCTGCTTGGGAATGTGATGTTCAGTACATGGTGAAGGCAGGCAGGAGGAAGGGGCAGATTGTGATGTGTGCAGCTAAGATGGGTATGCGAAAGATAAGAGAGAGGAGAGAGGAACAGGGGCCAAAAACATACACACACACAAAAAACAGTGCTAAGGGAGCTTGCTATTGGAGTGGAGAGATGAGAGACTGAGAAATGAGGAAAAACAAAAATGAAAAAAAAGAAAAAGGGTAGAAGAAAAAAATGAATAAATTGAGAAACTGGAAATGAAGAGAGACAAAAAAAGAATAAGAGAGAAGAAAACGAAACAAAGCAACAACAACAACAAAAAAGAACGAAAAACAAGAAAAAAGAAATGCCCCCAGGGATGTCCCTGTGTGTCTGTAGAGTAAGGGAGTAGCTTCCAAGCCGCACGGTACTGCCTGGCTAGAAGGGGCTCCCAAGCCAAGAAAAGAAAAAGAAAACTAACAAATCAAAACAGAACAAATCAAACAAACAAGCCCCGGGGGTCCTACTAGCTTGGCAGCACAGGCCGGGAAGCACTTTCACAGTTGAGTGGTATTTCACAGCCTTTCAGGAAGAAGCAAAGATGGTACACAGAGCCAGGTATTTGAGAGAAAGGAGGGGGAGGTGGTGAGAGGTAAGAAAGAAATCTGAAGAAGCAGAAAAAAGCAACACCAGCAGCCAAGAGAAGGCATTCACAGAGCCGGCCAGTGTGGGCAGGTGGAATCCAAGCGACACCGGGTCGCCTCCTGGCCAAGACAGTGTGGCTGTAGGAAGCAGAGGAAGGTAAGTAGGGGTGAAGAAAGGTGGGGGATGGGAAAGCCTATATCGCTGGCTACCGGTTGTTCTGTCTCTTGCTGGAAGCTCCGTGAAGCTGCTTTCTCATACCCGTTGGCTGATCTCTGACAGGAATCCAAGATGGCAGATCCACGCAGCGGTAGCTGATAGGGGACCTCTACATGTATCTCTCCTCGTTCCCTGTTCTTGGTCAGTTTCTTGTTTCATTTGGTGCTTGGTTGAGTTATCTCTTCATCTGATGCTTAGGGTTTCAGGATTGACGTGTGACTCTGTTTGACTTAGTTTTTCTGATCTTTGCTACAAAGAGACGGCGTGGGGTTTCTGACTATAGCGCCACATTGCCCAGAAGCCTGAATATGTAATTCTTAAAATTCCATGTTGTTTATTTATACACAGGCATTAGAGCAACTTAAAGGGAAAAAATGTGGGTAAGATGACTGACTGACCATAGGTTTTTTCTGGTTTGTTTCAGTACTTCTGCCCCCACTCTACACATACTGACATGTATATCCAGTGTCACTTTTACTAACACTCTGCAAACGTGAAACTAATCAAACTTGATTTTAATCTCCATGTTTCCTAAGACACAGAGGGTTGGAAAAACATTTCCTATAAATTACCTGGATGCTGACCTAGATCTTGACTTTCTGTTATCAGAAATATGCCGCTTAACCTCTTGAATACAAGATTGTTCCACTTCCATTTCCTTAAAAAAAAAAAAAAAAAAAAAAAACAAAGTGAAAATAATAGAGGCAAAAGGCCAGAATCTAATAAATGCTGAATTTAAATTCTCTTGTCCTGAAACATTTCTCTTCAGGTTACTTGGGACCAAATTACTAGTTTATTAATGACTGGTCATCACCACAAGAAACTTTCATATGGTTTACAAGATTAGTTCTAGAAGTTGCTTTGTATAAATTACACATCATTTTAATAAGCCAGCATATAACACGTGAACCAGGTATCAGTTAATTAAGTAATCTACACTCTTATCTCAATTCTCACAGAATCCTACGGAAGTTGGTAGTTTTGGGACGCCCACTTTTGAGATGAAAAACTCGGGCCATAAAGGGTTTAGTACATGCTCAAGGTATCAGTCTTCAAATTCAAAAATGAAGATAGCAAGCAAATAACCAGGAGTCTGTATATAAGTCAAGCCAACCAAAGAAATAATCAACAATCTAGGCATTAAGTTTTACCTGCTGATGTGCTTTCTGTGTAAGTGGTTCATTCTGTGCCTGGAAAGAAGCCTGGAAAGATGGCTGTACCGGTGGAGTTGGAGGTATGACAGGCTGAGCCATAGGAGGAAACGGAGGTGTAGGAAGAAGCCCAAATCCTGGCATCTGTCCATTAGGAGGAAGTGGAACCTTTTGTTTTTAAACAAAGTGTAGGAACAGTTTTTAAATGACAATTACCAAAAATAATTTAGAAAACCTTTAATCACTTTATATTAAACTATCTTTTTTTTTTTTAAATTGTGCTTTAGGTAAAGCTAAAATATCGTCAATAACCCTTGATCATAGTACAGAGGATTTTGTCTGACTTAACTGGAATGACATGCAACACTGTTAAACAATTCCCACATGTACGTTTACCCGAAGATTATATATCCACATATATAGGTTAAAAATCTTGTAACTCACTTCAAAATTATGAATACAATTTGGTTTATATATTTAAACACATTTATACATTTAAAGACACAATTTCATTTATATGAGGAAGCAGTGTGACAGACTGAACTTTAAAGACAATTAGGCCTTTTGATGGTAAGAGTGGCCAGAAGCAGTGACTTCTAGGTTCATATTGTTTTACTTACTCCAAGGGAAGTTCCAACTAACATATCCACTTTCAGAGTTTAAAATAGCAGAATGACAGTAAACCACAACCTAACATATTTCTACATGTGCAATTCAAACACCAACACAATTTAATGAATTATAAACTATCAGTAACTGTGAAACATCTGGATATAAGTTCATAGGTTTTCTTCATATTTTAAACAGGCTTAAAAAATGCTTTCAAACTTCATCAGTAAATCACTAAAATCACCACATCAATTTCGTATTACCAAATATACAGCAGAATGGATCATGCACGCTCTGGATAAGAAAATGAATATACTCTAAAAAGGCATGTCAGAACCCTTTCTAAACTAAGGCTATAAAAGTGCTATTTCTCAAGCCTGGTCGTACCACAGAATCACTGCACAATTAAACAAAAGATACAGATTCTCTAGAGATTGATGATAGCTCTGGAGTGGGGTCCAGAAGCTGTATTTTAAAAAATGCCCCTCCCTTGCCCCTGTAATTTCAATGCCCAGCCAAGCTTAGGAGACTAAATTAGAGGGTTTACTAAAATAAACCTAGTGAACAAATCTCTACTAACTTCCTGCAATTTTCCGGTGTGCTATGCTCCTTTTACTTAGATTTCAAACCATATTCCTGAGTGTTCAGAGATGAAAAAGAAAGAATTTGATGGTAACGATGTTTAAGGGAGTTAGTTCTGTCTACTCAAGATGGAACGCATGAAGCCAACAGTTTTTCGTAATAGCTGCTATAAACAGAAAAGCCTCTAATGATTCTGTGAATTCTGAAGAGGACCAGAAGCCTGAGTGTCACAAAGTGGTTTGAATATAGCTCCAAATTTGCAAAACCAGCGCATCTCTGGCGGTACCTTTCAGGGGCATAGCTGAGGAAACCACTGCAGCCTGCAGAGTCTGCCGATGCTCTAACCCTTTAAGGAGCACATGGATCAGTCTCAGAATGTTGTCTAAAGCCTCTGATCACACAATTTTTACAGGAAAAAAGGCCCAGCAAGGGAAAGAGCTGTACAACAGACCAGTTTCCTGAAACAGAAACATAATCTCTCTCTAAACGCTCTTAACTAAAATACCTAATTATTAAAACATTAACACATAATGGTATTTAGCATCCTTGTTTTAATTAAAGCAAAAAGCAACTCAAAACAATACAATGTGTGCTCAACAGCTTTTATCAGAGTTGTAGTACTACTTAGCCAATCACACAGCTAAATAATGGTAGTGTGTGAAGTACACGCTGTATTACGCTCTAATGACCAGGTCTTGAGTTATTAAAACTCAGCTGTAGGAAAACCATTTGTACCTGATGGTGCATTGGCTCCTGCTGTATTCCCATCATTCGAGGTGGAAACTGATCCATATTCTGATGCTGTGTATATCCTGGCTGCTGCATGCCATCACCAGGAAATCCGCTAAAAAAAAAAAAAAAAAGAGGTAATCTTTTCACCCATTCAAAAGCCAGTAAGATTCTCAGCCACATTTATGCTACAGAAACATAAAGAATGTCACTCAGGAGCCATTATCAATCCACATTTTACTAAATCATTGATATACTCAGCATTATTCCCAACATAAAAGCTCTTTTTCCTTTCTTTTTTTGGTGGTGGTTGTTGTAGATCTGATAGGATGCCTCCTCATCTGGGAGAAAACCCAAACCATCACCTCAATTTTACAAAACAATGAAAATTATAGATGAAAACTGATTTTGATGCTAAACGTTACATCAGTACGCTTTTCCAACAACGCTCAACTTTCCCACCTCCGAGGAGTTAAAGAAGAAACGTACAATGGTGCCTGTGGAGGAGGAGAAGCAGCAGGGGCGGCCGCAGTGGGGACGGCAGCAGTGGGCGCAGGAGCGGCGGCAGCAGGAGGGGCTGTGGTGACAGCGGCGGCAGCAGCAGCGTCTTCTTTCTTTGATTCTTCCACAGCCTCTGGCTCATCATCATAATCAAATCTATCAAGCAGCTTCTGGAGTAGGTATATCAATATTCCGTTTTAAAATTCAGACTGTGAGTCACAGCATAAAAAACATTATAGAAACCACAGATGTGTACCATCATACATAACCCCGCCACGCTGCCACAGACAACCGCATGTTTCCATATGCCCCCTAGGACCCTGATTCGCAGACATCAACCGTTTTGACACAAATACAATTTTATTCTGCTTTCCCTCTCCAATTTTAGGTGCAGTTTTTGACTACTTTCTATATGCTCATTTCATCGTTCATTTAGTAGTATAAATATTTTACTAAAATATTCATTTTCCTAGACTAAAAACTTTTGGTACTTTATACACATCAAAACGGGTGTCCATTTTGAGTCAGCTGTAAAAAGTACAAAAAGACTGTCTTAACCAGTCACTATACACATCTACAGAAAAATATTCACATGCTGTTTGCTCCAGAAGATACTAACGTGAAAAAGAAATCCGTCTCCATTAAACGAGAGAACGGCACAGGCCAGGAGCACAAAGCCTCATCACCTGTGCACTACCTTCTTTCTCAGAACTTCAGAGATTTTCTTAAAACTTCAAACTTTTTACTAGAAACGTTCATTGAAGAAAAAAAAAAAAAGAATCGGCACACCTGACAAGATCTCATGTATTCTCAAACAAAGGTAACATCTTGAACCTCTACTACTGTGTTATGTGGATTACATAAAATACGTCATCATCACAACTCTGCAATGGAGGCATCGTTTCTTCTTTTTACAGACATGGAAACTAAGGCTCAGGTGATTATGTAACATGACCAAGACTGTACAGTCTGTGATGGTAGAACAGGGACAACTGGCCTTCTGGACTTCAGAGCCCTCAGTCTTTTTCCTCCAACAAGCAGCTTTTTCACCCAAGTTGTGCCCACTTTGCTTGGGGATTTCAAATTCCTACCCTTGTGTTGTTCTGTGATAGTTCTGCCTAGGAATTCTGGTCCTACTTTACTGAACAACCAATTTCTAAATTAAGAAAGAAAGTTCCCTCCATGGTCAACACAGTATGTAAGACGGAACCAAGTATAAAGAGTGTTTTGGGACAGAGCTAACTTGTGTTTCTTATAATTCTAGGTCACTGATTAAAAGTTCTTATTATAACTGAGAGAACTAATGTTTTCTAAACGTCCACTATGACCCAGACACCTTCTATTTTAGACAAAAGTAGCTTCTTTAACCCTCATGACAACCATAAAATATAGCTACTATCATCATTATTTTACGGTGGTGCACACTGAACATTTAAATGACTCAACATCAAGACAAAGCCAGCAAGTGATGGGAGTCACCATTAAACTTGGGTTGAAACCATCTACAAAACAAAAAACTATCATCTTTGCAGTTTATCACAAACAGATATGTTCTTTAAAGGTTTTAAGATTTAAACCTATCGATTTGAAAAAAAGAAGCAGTTAAAAAATAAACCAGCATCTAACGAAAAAACTTTGTGAAACTGAGGCTCTACAAAGCAGCTAAAATAAACAAGTTGTTCCCACTGACTGACAAGCTTAAAATAGACCTTTTTCAACAAAGGAAAAGCAAAGAATTCTATTTTTTAAATGTGATGTAACTAACAAACATTTGGCCAATCCACTTAAGACAAAATACTAAAGGAATTAAAATTCAAATTAAGAACAAGATAAGATGCCCACCATCACTATTATTGTCCGACATTTTTCTGGCAGTCCTAGTCGCTAATGCAGTAAGGAAAAGAAGCAGGTACAGCTGTTGAAAGGAGCCCGGGAGGCACAGTGGTTAAGCTCTTGGCTGCTGATCGAATTGGCGGTTCAAATCCACCAGCCACTAGGCGGGAGAAAGAGGTGGCAGTCTGCTTCCGTAAAGACTGTTGTCGTTTGGTGCCAGCAAGTCAGTTCCGACTCACAGCAGCCCTATGTACAACAGAATGAAATATTGCCGGTACCGGGCCATCCTCAAAAACCTTATGGGGCAGTGTTACTGTCCTATAGAGTCACTATGAGTCAGAATCGACTCAACAGCAGCGGGTTTAGGTTTTTATGGTCATAGATGTTGAAGAGGAAAAGTCAAATTGAGAAACTACCTAGAAAATCTAAAAGAGCAAACTAGAAAACATAGAGTTTAATACTGTGACCATTTACAAGATAAACTAATCAACAGTTTCCCCCATGGCATCATTAACCAAATAAAAAACGTCATTAAACATTAAAAATGACTAAATATCTAAGAATAAATTTAGCAATAAATGTGCAAGACCAAATGAAGAAAATGATAAAAGGGACTTGAGCAAATGGAGATTCTGTATAAGCTATCAGTCCTTTCCGAGTTAACCTATAAATTTTATTTATGCTAAAGCTCTTCTGAAAAAGTAAGCCCATGAATAGTCAAAGAATAAGTTTAAGAAAGAATAAATGGGTATATTCCACAATAATACATAGTATAAAAGTGTTAAGTAACAGGTTATGATGCAGAAATAAAGAAATATGTTAGTGGAGCAGAAAAGAGTCCAGAGACAGACATCAAAACATGGGAATTAAGCGTATGACAGACACACACACAAAAACAAACAAAAAAAAACCCAAACCCACTGCTGTTGAGTTTATTCCACCTCATAGTGACCCTATAGGGCTCTACAGAACTGCCCCATAGCATTTTGAAGGCTCTAATCTTTACAGAAGCAGACTGCCACATCTTTCTCCCACAAAGCAGAGACTGGGTTCCAACCACCAATCTTTGTTACACAGCCGGGTGCTTTAAATACTGTGCCACCAGGGCTCCTGGGACAAAAACAGTGAGGGAGAATTGGCTATTTCCAAAAATACGAAGATTTAACTATCTTGTACCATACTCTAAAATAGAATCCAGATGCACTGAAGTGACAAAAATGAAAACCAAAAACATTCAACTACTAGGAGAAAGAACTATTTTATAATACAGCTATAGTTTCCCCAAAACACAACAAAAAACAGAAGACTAATCTGACTATACAATAATTTGTATCTGCTGTACTGCAAAAGACCCCATAAATATTAAATGACAGCTTAGGAGAAATATGTGCAGCTTACAGTTTTTAATATGAAAAGCATTTCTACAAATTATTAAAAAATAGAAAAATAGGCAGAGATAAAGACGTAATTCACAGAAAATATAGCAATTATAAAAAGGAAACAACTTCACTATTAGATACCATTTTGAACCTGTAAGTGTCAAAAACTAAAAAAAGCAAAAATAAACCAAAGGTAAACACTGCCCACACTCACACTGGCACAAGCAGGGAAAAGGGATACTTAAATACTGCTGGTGAGATAAAAAATTGGTATAACATTTTTGGAGGCCAATTTGACAGTGTCCTTTTTTCAAAGGCTGGATGAAAGAAGAGAGAGTTTATTCAAGTAAACATACATACAGAAATGAGTGTATTATTTTTAACCTGACACATCTACCCTACTATACAGGAACAGGAACACACATGAGTATGTGAGCATGCCTGTACAGGTGTACATCTGTAGGCATAGGTATTTATATGTGTTTCTGTATGCTGCATGTGTATTCATACATGCAGTAGAGCACGTAGGGGCCACAGTTAAGGAAACTTCCTAGACATAACCAAATACCTCGTGGGATCGAGTTACTGGGTTTGAAGGCTCAGGACCATGTTCTGAGGGGACATCTAGGTCAACTGGCACAACAATAGCTCATAAAGACAATGTTCTACATTCTAGGTTGGTGAGTAGTGTCTGGGGTCTTAAAAGTTCGTGAGCTGCTGCCTAAGATGCAACTATGGGTCTCTTCTCGTCTGGCACAAAGGAGACTGAAGGAAACCAAAGACCCAAGGAAAAAATTAGTCCGTAGGACTAATGTCCTACGAGAACCGCACCCTCTTCTAGCCTGAGACCAGAAGATCTAGATGGTTCCCAGCTATCACTACCAACCATTCTAACCAGGGATACAACAGAAGGTCCTGGTTAGAATGGAGAACAAAACTCAGATTCCTAAAAAAGGTCAGACTTACTGGACTGACAGAGACTAGAGGAACCTCCAGGACCACAGCCCTAAGACACGCTTTGAATTTGGAACTGAAGCTATTCCCCGTGGACATCTTTCATCAAAGTAAGAAACTGGCTTATAAAATAAATACTACCACCCAAAAATACTGTGCTCCCCTTAATCAATCTTGAGACCAAATGGTCAACATTTACCCTAAAACAAAGATGAGAAATTAAGGAGAGGCAAGGACGCTAGATTAATGGACACAGAACAAAAAGAATGGAAATAACGAGAATGCTGACACGTGAAAAATGTAAGCGAAGTCATGGTACAAGTTCTATCAAAATTGTTAAATAAGAACCTAACTTGCTATGTAAACTTTCACCTAACACACACACGCGTGCATGCGTGCGCACACATACACGAAAATCTACCCTACAGAAAATCTACCTAGATGTACAAAAATATGTTAAGGATCATACGAGCTTCCGCATTCACTAGAGTCATGAAAAATGCAAGATAAACTCAATGTCTATCATGAGAAGATGATTCCAGAAAAAGCATGCTTATAGTACGAAATGTTACGCATCATATACAGTAATGAGACACCTCTATACATACTGATTTAAAAGGATGATCACGGTATATTCTTATTTGAAAAACACAATTATGTAGGAAATACACAGTAGATTCCATTTTTAATAAAACCATTTAAAAAAGGCCACATATGTAAGAATTTATGTTTATATGTGCATGGAAATAGTCCAATAGAACATATATAAATCTGTTTGATGCACAGTGGAACTGTTTCTCATTTTACTTCATAACTTTCTGTATTGTTTGCGTTTTCCCCTACAATATGTATTCCTTCTGTACTCAATGATTTTTCTAACCTTCTTTTAATCAGCAGTCATTAATAAATCACAAAGATATAATGAAAACCAGTATGTAAGATTTACCATACAGATTCTTAATTCACACTACTGGCAATAAAGATATTACATTTTATAATTAGAAAATTGGAAAGAATCTGAAATTTTAGACTGATGAGACCAGAGATATAATTTACGGCTTCTAAAATTTTAATTTTTCTGCAGTGAAAGGTGTAAAATGAAATGAAATTTTATGTAGTTATAAACCTGATACTAAATAAACAAGACATTTAAAACTGACAAGAGCAGAGCTGTTTCAGTTAAATTCCAACAAGAAGCTCTGAGCTGTGTGTGTTCGACACACCTGTGTCCTTAGCGGCAGCCTCTTAAATGTGCCTACAGAAGCCTTAAGGCTCAACAGAGCAGCTGGAAGACACTGAACTAGCCCAAATGCTCAATTAAACATATGGTAACTACAGTGAATTGTTTTACTTTCCTTTACTTCCTGAATTTTTTTTTGCAATAAGCATATAATAGATTTATAACCAGAAAAAATAATATGTTTCAATTTCGAGGAGAGGGAAAAATCCCTCAAACCACAAAACAATAAAACGAGCAATCCACAGACAAGCTACAGAAGGGGTTAACTTCCACAATGCAAACTGAGTGATAGAAACGGCGGGGTGGGTCACGGGGTGGGTCACGTGAGAGAAGCATACCTTGTCAAATGCAGTTTTTTGTTCAGGTGGGGGGAAAGCAGCTTTTTGTTCAGGTGGCTGTGGAGGAGCTGTCTTTAACTGAGCGGTGATAGCTTGAACCTGAGCCATCACAGCATTGTCAATGGTGGGAGACTGTGGTTTTGGAGGTTGCTGAAAAGTCTGAAGGATCTGCTGAAGCTTAAAGAATGATAAACCACACAACAATGTACAATCATAGTATCAAATGTTAATTTACTAAAAAAGAAACAAACAAAATAAAACCTTAAATGTGACTCAAAATAGCAGAGGTACAGAGTAAACAGGAAAAAAATAATCCACCTTTTACTAATGGTTAACTTTGCGGTGAATGAACACATCAAGGACACAATGCGTGTGGTGTAAGATTGAAAATAAATGCTGGTAACACCCATGATATAAAATGTTGGTGAAGGAGAAGAGAAAATACACTGAATTGTGAATAAGGTCAATGCAAGTTTTCTAGAAAAATGGGAAAAATCTCCCCAACGGAGATCATTTTGAAGTCAACAAGACATGCCAGAAACATGAGCAACAATACCACCCCCAGCAGTGGTGAAGCCCTCCCCAGGTGGGTGGTTTCTAAGTGAGCTGTCCCCTATCTTCCCCTCCACACTCCCCTACTATCCCCATGCCAGGATCTCCCGAGTGAAGGCCGAGCTGAGCAGCAGACGTATCTTCTCCCTTGAATGTGCTCACTAATTAGAAACGGAAAACGCGAACTGACCACAGTGCCTGAGCCTGAAGGCATCGCATCTCTGGGTGGTGGTTTACCTGCTGCCCTTGAGTTGTCTGGAACAGCTGGGCCACAGCAGCAAAAGCATCAGAGCTGGGCAACTGCGGCATGGTTGGGACGGAGTTTGTAGTGACTTGTGGGGGTTCAGAAGAAACTTTTACTGGAGGTGGAGGTGAACCTTAAAAAAAAGGAGGAGGGCATTAACATCTAAGAAAATGGTAATCTACAAATTTCTCCTCAAACTTCATTAAGTTTCTTCACTAAAATAAAATTCCATCCAGTTTAGAATAAAATAAAATACACAGACTGTAGTACTACAGAATTTATACTACAGCAACACATAGTATAGAGTCCTGGCAGCACAGGGGTTAAAAGCTCGACTGCTAACCAAAAGGTAGGCAGTTCAAATCCACCAGCCACTCCCAGGAAACCCCGTGGGGCAGTCCTACTCTGTCCTATAGGGTCCCTAGGAGTCGGAATTGAGTTGACAGCAATGGGTTTGGTTTGGTTTACCACATAGTATACATGTGGTATAGTAGAATTTATACTATTACAAGTACAGACGAGCATATTTTTATTAAAACTAAGAATTACGGAGAGAAAACCATAGCTTCTAAGATGTAAACCCGTTTCCTTCTTATGGAAAAATTCCACCACAATAAAAAGACTCAAAGTTTTCTTGCCAGACACACATGACCGTACCTTCATTATTAGTAACACTTTCTGCTGCTGGGGCGGCATTACTGGTTCCTGCTGCCATGTCCAAAAGAGGCTGAATAATCTCAATTTTAAACACACCATTTTTTTGCCAAAGGTTCAGTACACGAACTATTTTACTCTGTAATGTGTGACAAAACATAAATATTAGTATAAATAATTTATTATACCTCTTACAAAGAAAGTGAGGAGCACTCCTTAGGCAAACATTTCCATCGTTACTAACTCATTTCCTAAACAAACAAAATCCACCATTGGAATTACAACCTGGTTAAACCATTCTAAGTCAGTTTTTCTTCAGTGGTGTAATCTAGAGTAAGGAACACAGGACTATGGACCTAAAGAATTAATAAAAGTAGATTATTAAAAATGTGTTAGAAGTTTTCATTACATTTTATTTATGGTTACAAAGAAACTTCATCACTGACAAAAAGCAGTTATCTTAGTAGACAAACTGAAGGAGAATTTGAGGATGATGCTAACAGAGTATTTAAGAAACTCGCCTGAAATAGATAGGTATGGTGTTCTGTGGACAAGTAAATACAGAGGAGACCCAGAAAATACTTATTAAATTCATCAGTCTAAATAACTCTAATCGCCTACTCAAGGAATTACCTTTTCTCTTGTGCATTTTAACCACAAGTGCGTTCTCCTTCAAGAAAATAAACCTAAAATCTACAACACTCAAAATTATACGCCATTTATTGTAAAATGTTTCCATCCTTCATTATCCTGAGTATGTTTACCAGCGTATCTCCCCCACCTATCAGAGTGAAGTTACTATGCCTTTACTGTTTTTCTACCTTTTAATACCACAGCTCTATGAGAAATTAAATACTGTAGTCTTTGCTAATGAATACCCTATACTCTAGCATCTGTGTATGCTGAGGAAAGTCATCAATTATTGGTCCTTTCCTTCTGGAACAGGCAACAATCTGAGATAAGCACTGACTTTCTCTACTGCAGAATTTCTTTACCACTCAACTACAAGTAAATCTTTCCAACAACGTCTTCTTTAAAGCAAGACAGTGCTCCTTCTTTCATATTTCAAAAGTACAACACTCCTGAAGCATTTCACGAGAAAATAGATAAATATGAAATGACCAATTGCAGAAAAACACTGGGTTGTGTTTAAGTTCACCACATCATCAAGATTATTATTCAGAACTACATTAGGCTTTAAATATCTAATACAAACAAATTTAAATAAATATAAAAATAGTAAAAACAACCCCAACAAGATTTCAAGTTTTAATTTAAAAATGATTAACTATACCTTATCTTCAGATGGACAAAGATATAAATACTGGAATGTGGCGGTTATGTTTTTAGAGAATCTAGGCCCAAAAACATCTTTATCAGTTCCAAATTGATGACGAGACTGTCTCACAATTGAGTCAATTACATATAATCCTGGAACCTTGTATTCTGGCTTACACTGTAAAGATAAAGGTGTAAAATCAATACAAGAAAAGCAAAATCACCCTCTGACACCTATTTATCTAACATTTAAAAAACTTATATATATGTATGTATCTCCAATGACTCACAACTGACAGCCTCTCTATCATCTATCTCCAATGATTATTTCTGTTTAGAAACTACTCAAATGTTTTGGCTCTCTAATCAGCAAACTGGTCTAATTTCCCACAGGTCTATAGAGAACTACCATTCTCTTCATGCATTTGACTCCCAATGTTTTGTTCTTCTCTTATCCCTTTACCTCCCTCCCCACATACAATTTCTGAGAATCTACATTCCTTTGCAAATCCACTTATTGTAATACTCTCTACCACAATTTTATCTTTCAAAATTATCAAAAAGATAATTTCAACAACATCTGTCAATTTTAATTCTATTCAAGAAGCAGAGTACCAGAGAAACAAAAACTAAAAGAAGGTCACTTCTGGCTTATCCAATCGACAAGAACAACAGCAGGGGGGGGAAAAAAAAGCAGAGACACATGCACCCACATACATTTCTGGGGGTAGTGTAAACTGATAAAACCTTTATGAGGGCAATTTAGCAATTAAAGCAGAGCCTTATTTAAAAACCTTTGATCCAACACTTCTACATCTGCAAATTTATCCTAAAAAAACAAGATGTATCCAATGTTTTTCCCCTAGGATTAGTCACTGAAGCACTGTTTTATAAGTAAAAAATCAGAAATATCTATCCAACTGGCTGAATGAGTCGTGCTAACAATCACGCAACGAGATGCTTTGCAGATGTTTACGATAAACTCAGTGGGGAAATCAGGTTACCAACCAGTATATCCAATTTTTATACTTTTATAAATGTACTGGTACACGAACAAAAAGGGAATCCAAATTCGTAACTTGAAGGTGGTGGCATATAGGTAATTTTTTTTCTCCCATCTTACCTTGATTTGCTATCATAAAAGCCTCTAAGGACCATTTTTTGCCTGTTGGAGCTTTAACTTTTCTATCACTAATCCAGTATTCAAAGGTCATGGATTAGAAACATTTTCACAAACATTTATTGTTGCTGTATGCCACTGAGTCAATTCCAGCTCATAGCTCCCCTACAGGACAGAGCAGAACTGCCCTATACGGTTTCCAAGGCTGACATCTTTACGGAAGCAGACTGTCACATCTTTCTCCTGCAGATCGACTGGTGGGTTTGAAAAACTGGCCCTTCAGTTAGCAGTCGAGCACTTAACTACTGCGCCACCAGCGCTGCTTCAACATTATTGGCATGTGCTATATGGCCAGGTCAAGAGGACAAGGTAAGACATATAAATAGACGCGTGCTGATTAAATAGTTATAAAAACATACAACTGTGAACTGGGACACGGTTTAATTCTGATAGGGGCAGACGAGAAACACTGCAGTGAGGCTTGACACAGGTTCAGTGCCTGGCTCATGGCCGGTGCTCAACCAACGATATTCCAGTAAATATAATTTGTTCTATTTTTAAAAAGATCCTCTTAGTGACATTAGTGATGACTGGAACCTCTAGTGACTACTTTTTGTGTACAGTGGCTTTAGAAGCAAGCATCCCAAATTACAATTTATGAAGTAATTACAAATACTGGTCATAAATTAAATGAGGTAATGATGAAAAAGATAGTTACCTTTTTGATGAACTTTTCTACTATTTGAACTACATGCTTATAAAGCTGAAAAAAATTAAAAGAAAATTACTGTCCAATTAAATATTTCTACATTTCCTATAAAGAAATCAGAAAATACTTAAAACCTTGACATTTGTACAATTCAAATAATTCAAGATAATACTGAATGAACCATGAGAAATAACCCATATTACAAGTCAAGAACAGAAAAAAACTCTTACATAAAATTCAGAAAGGAATTAGCTAAAACAGAAAACTACAAAAACTGCCCCAAAACAGAAGGTCCTTTTCTTAGATTTTTAATCAATAAACCCTTCATAACGCAGCATACCGTTCATTATAGGCAACACGGGACGAGAGGGACAGGAACAAAGGATTTGGAATAAAAAAAATGCAGTTTCTAAACTGAGTAACTTATTAAAACGTGGTCTTGGATAAGACATTTAGTTTCAGTGAGTTCAAGTCTCTTTTGTAAAAATGGGGCTAACACTCAGCTGGTTTATTACACGGATTAACGAAAAAAATTCTTAGAAACGGTGGGCTACGAGGCAAACGCACGGTATCATCACTTACCTTCAGCAGAAGCTGGTTAGTGCTCTTTGATTCAGCCCTGAGCTAATTCACAAGATGAATTTCTACACTCAACAAAAAATTTTCAAAACTTCAAAATATTTCTCAAATGAAATATACTTATTTTATTCTTACCTTAATAGCTTTAATAGCAGCTTTAGTGATGAGAATCATCTTGGCTCGAGAGATGGGAGGTTTCATATCCATAAGGGAAAAGAGCTTAAAAAAACAACAACAAAAAAGAAATGATTACATAAAGCAAAACGTAAAAGGACAAAAATCCAAGCAATACTGTGAAAGGTGCTTTTCAATAATGATAACCCCCCAACCAAGTTTTACAAAATTAGAGGGCAACTGCCCAGCTCTACAAAGATATTCGCAATGAATTTACAAAGAGAACAACAAACTTTTGGAATTACGTGTTTAACAATTTGGCTAGTACACAAAAACCAAGAACTTTACTACATAACTGCACTACCACTTAGAAACTAATAGGAAAAGCTCATATTCAAAATAGCAAGAAAAAGAAAATCATCAATCTAGAGGGAAAAACATTCAGAAAACACACACACACACACACACACACACACACACAACTTCACTGAAGAACTCAAAAATGATTTGAATGGAAAGAAACAAACCATGTTCCTGGATTGAATGTGGCAACAGTGGGACTCCATCAATAGTTAATGCAATTTCAATCCAAATCTCAATGAGATTTGGGAGGAGACCTTAAAATAGCTCTAAGTTTATTTATAGAAGTCCTGGTAACTCAGCAGTGAAGCGCTCAGCTGCCAACCAAAAGGTTGGCAGTTCAAACCCACCAGCCACTGCTCAGTATAAGTATGTGGCAGTCTTAGCTTCCATAAAGATTACGGCCTTGGAAACCCTATGGGGAAATTCTACTCTGTCTTACAGGGTCACAATGAGTCGGCATCAATTCAACGGCAATGGGTTTGGTTTAAGGTTCGTTTGGAGAAATATGTCTAATACACACGAGGCAACAAAATGTAAAATGCCATATAAAGTAATAATCTTGTGATGTTCACCTAAGAATTCAGTTTTTTAAATTTGTCCTGAATAAAAACAACAGCCCATATTAAAAAGATTAACCCTAATGGTGACGACACAGGAATTCAATTTTAAAAAATCTCCTTGTTGGAAACAACCTAGACGCCCATCAACAGATGAATGGATAAGCAAACTATGGTCCATACACACAATGGAGCATTACGCAATGTTAAAGAACAGTGATGAATCTGCAAAGGATCTCACAGCATGGATGAATCTGGAGGGCATTATGCTGAGTGAAATAAATCAATCACAAAAGGACAAATATTGTATGAGACCACTACTGTAAAAACTCATGAAAGGTTCACACACAAAAAGAAACAATCTTTGATGGTTACGAGGGAGGGGAGGGGTGGGGGGGAGCACTAAATAGACAATAGATAAGTGGTAGCTTTGGTAAAGGGTAAGACAGTACATAATACTGGGGAAGCCAGCACAACTTGTACAAAGGTAGGTCATGGAAACTCCACAGACACATCCAAACTCCTGGAGGGATGGAACTGCTGGGCTGAGGGCTGTGGGAACCATGGTCTTGGGTAACATCTAGCTCAACTGGCATAACATAGTTTAGAAAGAAAACATTCTACATTCTACCTTGGTGAGTAGCGTCTGGGATCTTAAAAGCCTGTGAGCAGCCATCTAAGATACTGCACTGGTCTCATTCCTTCGGGAGCAAGGGAAAATGAAGAAAACTAAAGACACAAGGGAAAGATTAGTCCAAAGGACTAATGGACCACAACTACCACGGCCTCCACCAGACTGAGTCCAGTACAATTAGATGGTGCCCGGCTACTACCACCGACTGCTCTGATAGGGATCACAAGAGAGGGTCCCAGACAGAGCTGGGGAAAAAATGTAAAACAAAATTCTAACTCACAAAAATAAGACCAGACTTACTGGCCTGACAGAGACTGGAGAAACCACAAGAATATGGCCCCTGGACACCATTTTAGCTGAGTAATAAAGTCACTCCCAAGGTTCACCCTTCAGCCAAAGATCAGACAGGCCCATAAACAAAACAAGACTAATAGGGCACAAAAGCCTAGGACAAGGACTAGAAGGCAAGAAGGGACAGGAAAGCTGGTAATAGGGAACCCAAGGTCGAGAAGGGAGAGTGTTAATGTGCCACGGGGTTGTTAGCCAATGTCATAAAACCGTATGAGTACTGTTTAATGAGAAACTATTTGTTCTGTAAACCTTCATGTAAAGTACAATAAAAAAAAAAAATCTCCTTGAGAATAAACTTTCACTAATTGAAAAAAAATTAGGTCAAAGACAGTAATATTTTAAATTATATAAACCCCAAGAAACTAAGAATAATTTAAAATATTTCAATTTTAACACAAACCCTGAAAAATATCAACACTGCATGTTTTATGAATATATAGCATAAATCTATAAGGGCATATTCTGACCACTTATAAGTTATAAAATTTATTAAGACAGTTTATTGTTATTCTATTCTCTATACCTTAAGCAGAAAAAGGGGATGCAAAAAAATACATGGATCTTAAGAATAAGCAACAGTAAGAACTACTTCTCGGCATTAGAAGCTTGGGGAATAGTATTTTAATGAAGCCTAAGTCAGAACAATTATTATTCATCTAATGCCACAAAATAGGCTTTTTCTTGATCATTTTAAATACTTCTCGTCATATTAAAAAAACAGACAATTGAGCACACAAGACGCACTCCAGAATCTATATTTAAATTATCATAATTTATTTACAAAACTCAAATGCTGACAATACCATATAGCAGTATAATGACAACTGAGGCAAAAGACCAGCAAAAGAAACTTCAAGAACTATGAGAGAGAGTTGAAGGGTGTTAATACATTACAGAAAGCAAAGACAACTTGGGAAGAGAGGATGACAAACATGTGAGAGCCTACGATTTATCAGGAAGCGCTGAGGTGGTTCACTGTATTACCTCCTTCAATCATATTAACTCTTAAGGTAGATTCTGTTACACCTGTTCTAAATGGTAAAAAAGGTTTTAGCTGTTGCTCAGGGAATAGACCTGAACTAAAATTTCTTGATTCTAAGAAACTCAAAATCCCTAGTAGCGTACACACATCCTTACACAACGCTGCTTACTAAGTCGATGCAGGACCATTAACTGCGATTGGGAATATAGAAAAAACCAGGCAGGCATCTGTGCCCATGTGTATACCGTACTAGTTCAGGGATAACATCAAACATACTGGATTCAATCTGGGATGCCTACTGAATATTCGGAGTATCTGAGTGGTGCAATCATTTAATGCACTTGGCTGCTAACTGAAAGGTTTCAAGTTTGAGTCTACCCAGACGCACCTTGGAAGAAGAGTCTGGCAATCTACTTCTGAAAAATCAGCCACTGAAAACCCTACAGAGCACAGCTCTACTTTGACACACATGGGGTCACCGTGAGTTGGAATCAACTTGACAGGAACTGTTTTTTTTAAACTGAATATCCAGGCAGAGATTTCAGGCAGAGTCTGAAATACAGATCTGGAGCACAGAAATGTCCACTTTAGAAACTAAAAGGTCATGGAATCAAAGCCATGAGGACAGGTGAGGTCACCAAGTAGGGGTTTATAGCGAGGGAAGAGAGCTAACAACATATACCTAGTGAGGGTGTACAAAAAAAATCCAATGTGGCAAAGACAGAGGTGCACAAAAGAAAACCAGAAGTGGCATCTCAGAAATTAAAGGCATTTAGCAGGGTCAAATGCTACAAAAGGTTAATTAGGACATAAACCAAACTTTGTTCATTCAGTTTGCCAATTATGTGGCAACAAGTGAAATCCAAAAGACTCACTGCATTGGGCAAATCTGCTGCAAAAGACCTCTTTAAAGTGTTAAAAAAGCAAAGATGTCACCTTCAAGACTAAAGTGCACCTGACCCAAGCCATGGTGTTTTCAACAGCCTCACATGCGTGCAAAAGCTGGACGATGAATAAGGAAGACCGAAGAAGAACTGATGTCTCTGAACTGTGGTATTGGCGAAAAATACTGAATATACCAGGGACTGCCAGAAGAATGAACAAATCTGTCTTGGAATGCTCCTTAGAAGCAAGGACAGAGAGATTATGTCTCACATACTTTGGATATGTTATCACGAGAGATCAGTCCCCGGAGAAGGACATCATGCTTGGCAGAGGGTCAGTGAAAAAGAGGAAGACCCTCAACGAGATGGACTGACACAGTGGCTGCAACAATGGGCTCAAGCATAACAATGACTGTGAGGATGGTGCAGGACTGGGAAGGGTTTCATTCTGCTGCCCAAAAGGTTGCTATGAGTCACAACCGACTTGACAGTACCTTACAAGAAGTGACATCAGTTTTCTAAGTGATTCCAATCACTTAAAAAATGAGTGGCAAGTGAGAAAGAAGAAATGCAGTTTGGGCTCATTTTTCACTCATTCAACAAATACTTGCGATGTTAGTAAGTCGCAAGCTCAACGTGTGCCTCACGAGGAGAGGGAATCATGTTTCAATGCTTTATAGATGGCCACTCTCCTAACACCTCTTACCACTGAGGACTGTAGTAAGGCTTCTGCCACATTTAAAGGTTTCTTTTTAGATGCCCTTTACTCTACCAATGATTTCCTTAAAACTGTAAATAAGTATTTGATATAATTATGATGAAAAATACTACACACAGATATAAATTCTTAAAAATGGAGGTTTACAAAATTACCTTTTAAAGTTCAATGAATGTTACTAAATATTTTATTGACCTTTCCAAAGCACAAATTCATCAAATTGTCTTTTTCAAGGCAGAAAGGTCCCGTGATATCTAGGTCAGCTCCTTCACTGGATAGAGACCCAGACATGATATAAATTATATACAACAAAGTATAGAAACTGATGTACTTCACTGGTAACCATGCACACCAACATCACTCATTTGGATAAAAATACCGACAGCCTTATGGTGAGGTAGATGTTATACCTCCATTTTAGAGACGGGGGCACTGAGGCGCAGAGGTTCAAGAATCTGCTCAAAGTTCACAAAGCTAATTAAGTGGCAGAACTCAATCTGTGATCTACCATTTCCCAAAGCTCCAGTTCTTCCCAGTAAGTACCTAACAAAGAAGGAAATGATTTAATTAATACTATAACAGATTAGCACAGAGGAACAATACACAGAATTTAAAG